CCGGCGCGCTGCTCCAGCTCGCCCGACAGCAGCGCCAGCCGGTGGCTCTTGAGCTTGAGCTCCTCCAGGTACTTCTTCTCGCGCTCCTTGAGCGTGCTCTCCAGCGCCTGCACCAGGCCGCGCTTGCGCGCCAGTTCCTGCAGCAGCTCGCCGTTCTCGCGCTCCTGCGCCTGCAGCTGCGCCTCCAGCTCCTCGCACCTGCGCTCCAGCTCGCCGCTCCGGGACCGCCCGGCCCCTAGGACGACAGGCGGGGCGCCGCGTTAGGCGCTGCGGCCCCTGGGCCCGGCTCCCCCCGCCCCGGCAGGAGGCGCTGCCCTGGGGGGCCGCCTGGGGGACGCGGGAAGGCCCTCTCCCCGCCGTTTCCTCTTCTGCCCGAAAAAAGAAGGCGGGTCGGGTCGTCTTTGAGGTCCCTTCCAGCTCTTAGCTCTCTAGCTTGTTACAGAAAATTTAAAAAACAGAAACAAAAATTTCCCTGAATTTTAAAAACAGGCAACGCCAGAGCTCGATGCCCCCAGGCGCTTGGGGACTGTTACCTAGACCCCGTCTGCCGGGTGGCGGTGGCTGAAGGCCCTCAGCACCGGGCCACTCTTGCAAGGTGCTTGCGGGAAGAATCCTCCAGGTCTAATGCTCAGAACTCGGGAAGGGCCTAGGGCCGGGTGTGAGGTGGTCTCCTCTCTGCTGTCTTCCTCTCCGGCTCCGCTGCCCCTCACCCGCCCCGAGTCTCTGCCCTCAGCCTCCGCTGCCCATTTTCCACCTGTCAGAGCCCAGCTCCTCAGCAAATATCACCAGTGCCATCACCCCACCCCTGCCCCGGGACCCCAGCATCACTCACACGCGCTCACCACCTGGGCTCCCAAACCCCACACTGCATACCTGCTCCCCCACACTGCCCCGCTGGCCTCCCTCTCACCTTGCCCCAGTAAGCTGGGGGCCTCTTGCCTCTAGACCACGCTGGCCTGGCCCTCTCACCCCATCTACTCCTGAGTGGGTGCCACCTGCCAGCCAAGGGCACCTGCGACCCGCGGACACCGCTCATGGCTCTGTTCTCTCAGATACCCAGCTTTCACGCGCTCTTTGGCCCCTCCTCTTTCCGCACTGGGCACACTGGCCGTGGCCGAGGCTCCCTCTGTGGTCTTTCTGGTGGCGGTTCCCTATCCTGTCCTCTCAGGTCTGCAACCACCACAGGTACCCCTTCCAAACCATCTTAGGGATCCATGGCGTCCCTGCAAGGATTTTGGTCCCCTGTTCAAAAGCTGCCCCTTGCCATCAGGTAGATACACTCCCTGGAGCGATCAATCGTGGGAAAACAGAAGGGCAGTGTGTGCACAGGGAGACAGCTGGGGGGACGGGCAGGAGGGCACGGGAGGGAAGGACGCAGGGAAGAGGTAACTACGGGGAAGAAGTGGAAAGAGAGCTGTTACACTGTGGGGAATGGCAGCCAATGTCACGAGACAAAATGTGTATGAACTGCTGTATGGAAAATGAATTTGCTCTGTAAACTT